AAGGTTGCCAAGACCCCTGCCCAGAAACTTGAGATTCTCTTCAGTGTGGTGTCTGCTCAGTTTGATGTAAATCCAGGGCTAAACGGTTACATGCCTATAAATGTGTGGAAAAAATGTGTGCAGAATATGTTGGTTATCCTCGATATTGTTTTCCAGCATAGAAATATAGTTGTGGATGATACGGTTGAGCCGGAAGAGAATGAAACGCAGAAGGGAGCATACCATGAGAGTACTATTCGTGTTTGGGGAAACTTGGTCGCCTTCCTTGAGAGAATTGACGTGGAGTTCTTCAAGAGCTTGCAGAGCATTGACCCTCATACCCATGAGTATGTTGATAGGCTGCAAGATGAGCTTATGTTTTTGGTTCTTGCTGAAAACGTTCAGGAATATCTTGAGCGAGCTGGCGACTATAAAGCAGCATCAAAGGTTGCTTTGAGGCGGGAGGAACTGGTGTACTACAAGCCACCGGAAGTTTTTGATGCTATGAGGAAGCTGTCTGAACAAAGTGAAGGCGGGGACACTGGTGATGAAAAGGCAGAAGAGAGTAGAGGACCACCTGCATTTGTTGTTGTTCCTGAGGTGGTTCCTCGGAAGCCCACTTTCCCTGAGAATAGCAGAACAATGATGGACATGTTGGTGTCTCTCATATACAAATATGGTGATGACAGGACAAAAGCTCGAGCGATGCTTTGTGATATCTATCACCATGCCCTCCTGGATGAGTTTTCCAATGCTCGTGATCTGTTGTTGATGAGTCACTTGCAGGATAACATTCAGCATTTGGATATTTCTACTCAGATCCTGTTCAACAGGGCCATGGCACAGCTTGGTTTATGTGCATTTAGGGTTGGGCTAATCACTGAAGCGCATGGTTGCCTTTCTGAACTATATTCTGGTGGAAGGGTAAAGGAGTTGCTCGCCCAAGGTGTGTCTCAAAGTCGATATCACGAGAAGACCCCAGAACAGGTACTTGCGTATTTTGTTTTTCATGTCCCTGAAATGAGAGTCTCGCGTGTACTCTCTTACTGATTCATTATAAATGGTGTGTTCTTGCTGAAGCATGATGTGTTCATAGCAGTATATATCTAGTAATATAAGGAATTGAGTGCAGCTTTGCATATTGATTGAGATATTCTTAGCAGCTTGACATTTATCAGGAACTCTATTGCTCTTGTGTATGTGGAAACTAAATAGACTGTCTTTGTTGAAGCCCAAGTGTTCTACCTAGTAGTGAAAGAGGATGGAAATGATAGGTTCATTTGCTCATAAAAGTCGAAAACTGGATGAAATGTCTATTGCTTTTCTGTGTGGTAGCTCAGTTATGTGTTAGGGGATTTCCATGTTGGATCTGTCGGTGAACTGATTGCACAAACTGATGATAAGTCACAAAATATAATTGGGCGGCAAGGCCAGCTTTTCTTGTCTATTCCGATGGTTATTGACCAATATATAACAGTATCCTACTCTGGATGAAAAAATCCAGCTTTGGAACATCTTCTTTTACTGCTTTCTGATCATGGTTATAATGTCCTCGACTGATTTCTTATTGTTGCGGACCATTTATATACTAACAGGAGAGGTTGGAAAGGAGACGCCAGATGCCATACCACATGCACATCAACCTCGAGCTTCTGGAAGCCGTCCACCTCATATGCGCCATGCTCCTCGAGGTCCCCAACATGGCAGCCAACACTCACGACTCCAGGCGCCGACTCATCAGCAAGACATTCAGGCGTCTTCTCGAGATCAGCGAGAGGCAGACTTTCACCGGCCCTCCCGAGAATGTTCGCGACCACGTGATGGCGGCAACTCGAGCCCTAACGAAGGGAGACTTTGTCAAATCGATCGAGGTGATCGAGTCCCTCGACATCTGGCGCCTCCTCAAGAACAAAGAGGCCGTCCTCGGAATGCTCAAGTCCAAAATCAAGGAGGAAGCTCTCAGAACCTATCTCCTGACCTACTCCTTGTCCTACAACTCCATGAGCTTGGAGCAGCTGATGACCATGTTCGACTTGTCGGGGGCCCAGACCCACAGCGTGGTGAGCAAGATGATGATCAACGAGGAGCTGTACGCAAGCTGGGACCAGCCGACGGAGTGCGTTGTGTTCCACGACGTCGAATACTCCAGGCTGCAGGGTCTGTCGTTCCAGCTGACCGAGAAGCTGTCGGTGCTCGCGGAGAGCAACGAGAGGGCCATGGAGTCTGGTGGTGGCGGTGGGATGGAGCTACCGATGCGGAGGAGGGACGGGCAGGACTATGCCAATGCTGCTGCTGGTGGGGGTAAATGGCAGGATAACTACAATCAACAGGGGGGAAGACAAGGTGGCGGTGGCCGTTCTGGAGGGTATGGTGGTGGCGGGAGGTCTGGTCAAGGTGGTGGTAGAGGCGGCGGGTACAACAGGGGGAGCCAGGTAAGAGGAGGTGGCGGCTCTCGTTATCAGGATTCGTCGGCGTACACCGGCGGCGGATCGCGGAGGACGGCTAGTTCAGCCGTGAGGGGCTCTCCGATGGATGGTTCTACCCGAATGGTCAGTCTGAATCGCGGAGTTCACGCTTAAACGAATCGAGCCAAAGCCTATCAAATTTTTCCTTCCCCTCAGGTGAGAACTAAAGTTTTGCGATTTGAGTTTTGGGCTGCAGCCCTACTGTGTTTCCCGTTGAGGTAAACTTGAAATCAGGTAGCAGCGCAGGAGGCATTTCCCCCTCTTTCCTTGGAGAATAATTTAAATTTGTTAGATTCTTGAACTGTTCTTAGAACTCGTTGTCTCTTTTTGGTTGTAAGGTACACATTTTTTAATGGACATGGAAGTATGGGAACTGGTAATTTGGTTTTCAGATGGTGGGCTGTTGTTTGTGGGTTCGTTTTACTCTTTTTCTGTTGGTTTGTGTGTGTGAATGGTGTTGTGCCAAATTTGGAGCTTACGAGCGATGGTGCTAGGCGCGAGCTAGAGCTTCAAGGTGGTCCAACCTGGAGGTCTTAGTTTCGCGTATATTAATTTTAAGTAGGCATAGAAGTCATCGGTACAAGGTGATGACAATGGATTTGGGAGGAGACTGTTGATAGTATCAAAATCTGGCTATATGCATGTCAATAGGTATAGGGGAAACACACGTCAGTATCCTTTGATAACACTTTTACCAAGTACTTTTTGTTCAAGACTTCGATGCTCTATTGAGAGTAGCGAGGACGAGCGAGAATCGAAACTCTGTTGGAGCGTACGAGGTAGGATGAGCTCTTGAGAAATGAGTGATCGCAAGTTCGAATTAAGTAGGTATTAGATAGGTTGAGTTCTTGAAAGATGAATGACCACAATCTTGAAGTGCGTAAATACATTTATTTAAGATTGAATGTTTTCGATCGAATACATAAAATACAAACTCTTTCGTCATCATTCTCGTTTATTTCCTAATGGGAAATCTAGTTGAATTAGGGTCATTCACGTTTATTTCCTAATGGGAAACCTAGTTGAATTTGGGGCCAAAACCACTTTAATGAAACTTTTCCTAATAAAGTTGGTTTCGATGGAAGGATGAATGGATCACATTGACATTCCTAATCATATCCAAGATGGCAACTTCTATCTAATATCTCAGTCCACTAAAATCATTAGCTCCTTCGTGATGTGGTTAGGACTTAGGACATCTTTGTACATGTTAAATGTTAATATCAGATTAAGACCAACTCCAATGCAACCCCTATAAATAGGGGAGTCGTTATTAATGGCATTTTGTGAGCTCCAACACGGAGTCAAAATTGGCGAAGGATGCCATTTATGAGGGAGGTCGACAATTGGGTCGCCAGTTTTGGGGGATGGAATGCCAAACTCGACATTTATGGGGAGTGGGAGCAGCGCTGGCGGTTGTTCCGCCTGCTATTGTTGATTTTTTTTTTTGTTTAATTGATAATTATGTGAAATTAATTAAGAGAAAGTAGGCAGAGATATCTAATTAATTAAGGTAGTTTGAATTAATGTTTTGTATTTTTTTAGGCTTCTTTGATTTGTATTAAATTTTCTATTAATATTTTGTTTAATTTCTTTTATTTGATAAGATGACTTAAATTAAATTCATCCTATTTAAATTTTATGTTTATCATCCTGAAGTTGTGCGTAAACAAAAACTAGACCGATGTTAAATGGAAAATATATTATTGGAATGAAAATGCATTCTTGAATTACAAAACAAATTGATCTCAACTACTACTTTAATTGAATTACAAAGCATCCCAATATCGATACCAAGCAACAAACATGACTAAATATCTCCATGCAAGTTCCAAATATGCTCGACTAACTCCTGACGAACCCCATGATGTGTTGGTGCAACACGAAGCCTATTATTCCTAGCCAAGTATTCAGTTAGAGTTGAAATATCTCTGTCGACATTATTTAGTTGTTGGTCGTGGACCTCATAATCAAAACTATCTTCCATCTTATCGTCAAAATCAACCGGCTCATCCTCGATTATCATGTTGTGCAATATAATGAATGCCAACATTATATCATTAACTGTGGCAATATCCCAAGATCTAGGAATTTGAAAAAATTCTATAGAAAAATTTGTATTTAAAAATGATGATGAAATATACAAAAATTAATATGAACAAATTATATTAAGATGATAATAAATACATTTTTAAATAAAAAAACTAGAAAAAGGAAGATCTTCAAATTTAAGGATAGGAGCATTGGAACCAAATTGAAGACAATCCTCAAATTTGGATTTGGGAAGGAAGTTCCCCAAATTTGGGATCTTGCATTGAAGTTGGCCGGGACTCACGTCTATGATGCGGCAAATAAAGGTTAGGGATTCAAACAATGAAAGCCCAATGAAATTTCCAGAAAGTTGGGCCGGAAAAGCCCTCTAGGAAATGAACACCGAAAGCACAAATGATTGAGAATGAAAATTGAAAGAAAAGTAAAAAAAAAAAAAAAAACAAACAAACCCCGAAACTCGTTTCTTCTCTTTCTATCCGTATTCCTTCCGTCTTCTTCTTCCTCCTTCCTTCTCCTTCTTTCTTCCATTTCCAACTCCTTTCTTCCCTCTCTGCGATTCAGTCGCGCGCAGACGCAGCTTGTCCTCCTCTTCTGCAAAAATCTCCAGAACCCTAGGAGCTCCCGACAATCCCTTTCTCTCCCTTACTGGAATGAAATTCCAACTTCTCGCTCCGTCTCTTCCCAGATTTCCGTGAGGGGGACTTAGGGTTTCTTCACAGTTGCGCAAGGTTTTCGAATACATTAGTCCGCGCCTTCAGATTGAAAAATTCGCCCGCTGCCTCGTTGGATCTGCGCCATGGACTCGCGAGATTCGGCATCTCAATCCTCCTCCTCCCCTGCGGCGGCCGCACCGGCGACCGGCACTTCCACGTCATCCAACGGGGAGGACGACGCAGTTCTCTCCTTGACCGCTGCTCTCGCTAAGGACGCCGCATTGCACTTCACGTCCCGCCGCTTCTCCGACTGCCTCGATGTTATGCATCAGCTCAAGCTGAAGAAAGAAGGCGATCCTAAAGTGATTCTTCTGACCTCCCTGCTCGTGCTCTTCATTGTTACTTATCTGGCTTAGTCTTTTGACAGTTGAGCTCAGTTAGTTAGTTGCTAGTGGTTTCGTTTTTTCCACTTGGACTTGTTGGTCGATTCCCTGATTTTTTTAGTAGTATGGGCTGGGATTAGTGATAAGAAGCTGGTGGTATTTGAAATTTTCTGGTTAGGGAATAGTCTTACTGTGGAATGTAGATGTGAAAGTGGGTTAGGGTGTTTATATGGGGTTGACAGGTATTTACTTGGAATATGAATTTATGTATGTCGAACTTGTTTAGCCGTCTTCCCCTCTTTGATTTTAGTATGCAAGCTAGTGAAGTTCTTAGGAGAAGAGAATCATCTAGATCGGCATCTGGTTGCTATTATGGACTTAATACACAGGTATAATTGGTAGTGATAATGGAGATTATGATAAATTGTATAAACTTGAGGTTTAACAAGTGCTGTCAATTAGTTTGAATTAATGGCCTCTGGTATTTTGTCCAGTGGACAATTTAGGGATGGATGGGTTTGTGGCTGTGGTCATTTTGTTAAGTTTGTTTACTGTTCATCTCCTTTAATTAAAGTTTGGCTTTTTGAATCCGTTCACATCTCTGCTAGGTACTTCACAATATTGCTATAGCAGAATATTTTCGAGATGGTTGTTCGAATCCTAAGAAGTTGCTTGATGTGCTCAACTCCGTCAAGGTACGACTTGTTTTCTTTCCTCTTTCTTTTGAAGCTCAAGGTTTTACAAACTATCACTAGGTTTCTACATTGTTTGGTTGCTTATCATGCATGCTTCTATTTGACCAGACCCTTAAACTGAGTGTTTTATGCTGTGAAGCAGTGAGTTCCTTAATTATTTTTCAACAAGTGGGTATTTTTATCATTGATGAATCTGTGATGGTTCCAGTGTATCCTTGCACCAGCAGGATATGTCACTTTGTGTGACTACTCAGAGTTGCCAGTTTACCTGGATTGATTTGGTGCTGCCAAATTTTTTGTGGATTTTTTGTTATGACTTTGATTCTTTGGGTGGTAGTTGATATATCCATTTTTCATGCTGGTTTTTATGAGATCAGAAGAAAAGCGAGGACCTTGCAAATGCTTCGGGAGAAGCTGTGGAAGTTGGTAGCAACAAAGTCGCACCTGGTTCTAAAGGAAGTGGTACGATGACACATCAGTCGTCTGGTGGAAATAGTGGAACACTTGTTTACATGGATGAATTTGACCCAGCTGTGGCAACTCTAAACATTGTGGGTTCTGTCTTCTGTGATGTCTCCCAGTTGATTTTATGTAACCGATTACTGTGGAATAGAAAATAACATTTCCCTTTTGCCTTTGGGAATTGTAGGCAATTATCTGGTATCATCTTCATGAGTATACGAAAGCCCTATCAGTGTTAGAGCCTCTGTATCACAATATTGAGCCAATAGACGAGGTACTTAACTGTTAATGTCGAATTGTTCATTTGGGTTAAACTTATATTTCCTGATCCTGATCTTTATGTGCAGACGACAGCTCTTCATGTTTGCTTGTTATTGCTGGATGTCGCACTTGCTTGTCAAGATGCATCCAAATCTGCTGTAAGTTCAATTGTCTCTGGACATGACACTTCAGTTTCTATGCTGCATATTCCCTCTATCAGTAGTTTCTTTCAGTCAGAAACAGCTTATGTATTGTAAGCTGAGACATGCTGTTTCATTTTCAATTCAAATAGCAACCCTTTTTTTTTGTGATTAAACTTTCAGATAGGAACTTTACTGCCTTCTAGGATGCCTTCTCCTTATTTGTCGCTTAGGTTAGCCTTATTGAACATCTTGAAGGGAAATAGTGAATTATATTAATCATTTTGTTGCTCTGCATTTTTTTTTCCGTTGAATAACTCTGCATTTTTCAATGGTGTGGTGTATGTAGCAAAATTTCATGCTGGGTCTTCCTTGAGTTGGAAACTTTCCATTGACCATGACTTATAGTTGTGCTTTTGGTTACTGTTGTGCTAGATTAATATATAGCGGTTAGTGCTACGAAATGATTTTATTTCATCAACTTTCACTTCCTGTACACCACTTTTATTGTTACATTGTGTATTTACCTCCTATTGAGTGGCTCCCTTTAGAACATAATTTTCGTTCATTGGGCATTGTTTGCATGTTACTCTCCATGAATCTTGACTTTTGTCCCAGTTTCATATGTCTTTTAAGATCTCTCGTTCAGTTGAAAAATGTGCACAGTAATATTATATTCTTTCTAATATTCTTCAGGATGTGCTACTTTACTTAGAGAAAGCGTTCGGTGTCAATACTGTGAATCATGGTGATAACGGTAATGCACAACTGCAACACTCAACGAATCTAGTTGCAAAATCTTCCTCTATTCCAACCAGTTCATCAGCAGTCGATGCATCTAATTCTGATTTAGGGGCTAGCGGGAATTCCTTAGAAAGTTCGTTATCAAGGTCACTATCATTATCAGAGGAGTCGCTGGAGTATGAATCTATGTTTTCTCTCGACATAAGTTCTCAGGGCTTGGGGAAGCCACCAGGCTTTTCATCGTCTACTGATCTTTCAAGGACCTCAGGGGATAGGTCTATGTCTACCATCGATTTGAAGCTTAAGTTGCAACTATACAAGGTTCAGTTTCTTCTTCTGACCAGGAACTTGAAACATGCTAAGCGTGAAGTGAAGCTGGCTATGAACATTGCACGAGGGAGAGACTCATCAACAGCCTTACTCTTGAAGTCTCAGCTTGAATATGCCCGTGGCAACCACCGAAAAGCTATCAAGCTTTTGATGGCATCGAGTAATAGAACAGAAATGGGAATTTCAAACATGTTCAACAACTTAGGTTGCATTTACTATCAGCTTGGGAAATACCACACCTCATCAGTCCTCTTCTCAAAAGCACTGAGCAGCTGTTCATCTCTTCGGAAGGACAAGCCTCTAAAGCTGTTAACTCTGTCACAGGATAAGTCTCTCCCCATATTGTACAATTGTGGCGTGCAGCACTTGGCATGTGGGAAACCTTTCCTGGCTGCTCGGTGTTTTCAGAAGGCTAGTTTAATATTCTACAACAGGCCTCTTCTTTGGCTCCGTCTTGCTGAATGCTGTATCATGGCTTTAGAAAAGGGAGTAATTAGAGGTTGCAGTGGTGCCTCTTCTGGCAAATCAGACATCATGGTACATGTTGTGGGTAAGGGCAAATGGAGGTATCTTGCTGTGGACGATGGGAAAACAAGAAATGAATTTGCTGAAAAAGAGGTTCTGTCAATGGGCGATGGTCAACCTAAGCTTTCGATGTCCTTTGCTCGGCAGTGCCTATTCAATGCTTTGCATTTGTTAGACTACTCCGAACTAAACCATCTGAAGTATGGGTTACCGTCATCTTTCTCCTTGGAGGAAAATGAATCCGACGGCACTCTTAAGAGCCCAAATCACAAGAACTTGACAGGTATTGATGCCAAAGCCTCGGCTGGTAACATGGGTCTGATTAATGCAAATGGTGATGCGAAAGAGCAAAAAGGAGGAACACCAAGCCAGGAGGTTATGCAGAACTCGATATCTTACTACGAAGTTGTCCATCGGAGAGAAAACCAGATGATTAAGCAAGCTCTTCTTGCAAACCTTGCATATGTTGAGCTGGAACTTGAAAACCCGACCAAGGCTTTGTTGAGTGCAATGTCTCTCTTGGAATTACCGGAGTGTTCGAAGATTTTCGTCTTTCTTGGACACTTGTATGCAGCAGAATCACTCTGCTTACTGAACAGGCCAAAAGAAGCAGCCGAGCATTTGTCGATTTATCTCTCTGGTGGAAACGATGTTGAGTTGCCCTTCAAGCAAGAGGATTTTGAGCAGTTGCTAGTGGAGAAAAGTTTGGATTCCGAGGAGTCAAATGGAGCAGCAGCACAGAACAAGTCTTCTAACTCTGTAGAGGAATCACAAAGCATTGCATTCCTGAAGCCAGCCGAGGCACGTGGAACCCTCTATGCAAATTTCGCCGCCATGTACGCCATGCAAGGAGAGCTCGAACGAGCCTACCATTTCGTGACACAAGCATTGACCCTCGTCCCAGGAAACCCGGAAGCCACGTTGACGGCAGTGTACCTGGACCTGTTGCTCTGTAAGTCTGAATCGGCCATTACCAGGTTAAAGCAATGCAGCCGGGTAAGGTTCGTTTCAGGCAATGTAGTATTGAATAAATCTTGATATTTGGTGGGTCGGTACATTGGGTTTGTATCAGTTTGAGTCCAGCTGGGATGGGTTCGTTTCACTCAGCATTCTTGTCTCCCGGTTCGCTCCGTTCAGTGGTTAGCTTAGCAAAGGTAGATCAGCAAATTCCTGGTGTAGGGTTTTGTAACATATATATAGCTGACTTCAGAGAGAATAAAATTTTGGGTTTTGGTTATTTTTTCGTCGGTTTTCGTTCCCAAATTTAGGAGTCGGGGGTAGTTTGGGAGGAGGGTTTGAATTGATCGGTGCTGGCCTGAGGATTGATTGTTTGGGGGGTATCAACAGGCGAGAAGAAGAGCCAGCACCATTTGAAGATTTGTAATGTTATGCTTCTTGTTGAGATTGCCAGGAAGTATTCAGCAGGAGGAAGAGTGTGTGTGAGGGAGATGGAGGGATGGAGAGAGACAGAAGGAAAATGGACTATTCAACAGTTTTCTTTCACATCTCAAAACTGTTATTTCAATGTGTATTTGAGGTCCATTTTTGGGGTATTCATCAGTTACTTACTCCCTCCTCTTCCATCTTCTACTCCTTGCTCTGCTTGCCTCTCATGCAGGTCTGAATTGCACAGGCAAATTTTGTAGTGTTTTGTTGCTTATTACTTGGTTTCTATATTGTGCTCTTTCGGAGTGGATTTTGCTACTTACTATGCCGATGATGGACGCGTTGATGGTCGTTGGATCGATTGTACAGTCCCTCGATTTCAGCCGTTAGATGTCTGAGGCAGTATTGGCATCGCGTGCTATAGATGCATGGAAACTGGAAAGCATTGAACTGTGGGAATTCTAGATATGCTAACTGTCACAGCTAAACGCGTATTAGTAATGATGATCCAATATTCAACCGAGAGACATCAGACGACATGCTATTTTTATCGGGAAATCATTTATTCTTATTCTTAAAAAGCGCAAGCCAGTTCATGGATAATGTATTTACTCAGCCGAGCTTGGCAAGCGACCCAATCCGCGAGTGAATTCAGACGCCGAAGGAACGAACTCTATCTCGATCCTTGGAGCAGAATGAATGACCGTTAAGATAGTTACATGCCCATGCAAGTAACTACTGCTTAACATGAAGTTTGATTCATATCCTAGTGTGCTTAACGTGAAGTAGCTGATCGATCCCTATAGAGATTAGGGGTCTAACCGACCCCTAGGTTTCCGACTTTGAGTTTGAACAACATGGGAGAAAAATAAGGAAGGGAAATTCAGAGAACACACGATACCCATATCCATTGAGCCACCATAACAAAAAAAAAAAAAAAAAAACCCAGAACCAACCAGAGTTAAATTAAATGATTAAATAAAACCAACAAAACGGAATCATAAGCACATTGTCTGGTAAACATGGACACGGACAGACAGGCAAGAAAGAAATTAAAGCCGAGCAATAAGAGAAGCAAAATTAAACGTCCAAACAAAACTGGCTAGCTGCAACTGCAATTGCATCGATGGCGACCTCTCAAGTCTCTTATCCATCAATGGCCACTCCCTCCACCGGAACCACCGTCGCCACCGTGGTTTGAAGAACCTGCAGCTCCAGTACTCCCGCTGCCAACAACAACCTCGCTCACGGCGGCGACTTCCCGATCAGCCTGCTCCTCCTGGTGAGGCTGCTCATCATCAACAACAGGTGGCGCCAAAACCAGCGGAGGCGGAGGCGAGGAAGGAGGCGAAGGCGAATCAGGGATAGCCATAATCGAGAAACTCCTTGGATTTGCTCGCGGATTTGGATTATGCCCATGATTCTCCATGATGACAGACTACTTTACGATTAACCTGCACCCAACGAGACGGCCGCTTATACCCACGATTACTTTAACAAAGTAAAAGCAAATTGTATGTATCTTAGGGTTAGGGTTTCCGAACATGGATAGAGGAGCCAAGGAAGAAAGAGGAGCAACGTTTTACCTTTTGCTCCTGACGGGATTTCACGCACCGGTGATCACGAGCGATTTAGCGAAAGAACTAGAAAACACGATAAAAGAGTTACTTTTCTCTACTAACTACTAATACTTTATTGATCGACTGAATATAACGAAGAGCAAAAGGTACATATTTATAGGACTAATCCTATAAATCCTTCCCTCTTAAGACAAGGAAACCCAAACCTAAAACAACAAGTAAACGAATACTTCCTGAACAAGATACGTAAATAATAATCATAGACCCAAACTAATACGGATAACCCAAATAATAACAGAATATCCCAATAAATAAAAATAATAAAACAATAATAATAATAATAATAATAATAATAATAATAATAATAATAATAATAATAATAATAATAATAGGCTTGGCCCAAGATGCTATCACGCACAAGCTCCCTTCGGAAAAATTGAAGAAGCTCGAGAGAGGATTGGCCCGCGGCGAACAGCAAATCGGCTGCAGGAATGATGATTTCGATTTCTGAAGATTAAGATCGTTTGGAGAATATGAGTTTAAATTTAAATATTGTCAACAATCTAATGATTCTAACTCTTCAAATTGTTGAAAACAGATTTTAAAATATTTATTGTTTGGTAACTGTGATTGTTAACATTCAATTAAAATAAAAAATTTAATTTTATATTAAGTAAAATGTTTATCCTTAATAAAAAAATTTGAGTGGTTCAATAAATATTAAAAATTGTGTTGATAAATATATTTCATGTGATAAATAAATAAAAGTAAGAGAAAAACTAGGAGAAAAAAATATCACGAATCAAGATATAGAATCTCTCTGATTATGAGAGATTTGATATCAGCAGATTTTAGAGATTTGAAATCTCTAAAGCTAGAATCCACAGTACAAAAAAACAACAAAAAAACATAAATTTCTACAAAATCTACGAATTCAGTAAATCCACGTCCTGAATCCTTTCTCCAAATGACCCCTAAGTAGATAGAGAATCCCCTATATATACTACTAACAAGTAACAATTACCTTTCCTTCCTTCACATGTAGGGGTGATAAACGGTTAGTCGGTTATCGGTTTTAACCGATAACTGAACCGATAAAGTCGGTTAGTGGTTAACCGATAACCGCTACTTCCTTATTGGTTTCGGTTTCGGTTAGTAGTATTTTGGTTAGTGGTTAACCGCTAACCGACTAATCGGTTAGCGGTTAACCGATAAGAAAACCGATAACCGCCTACTAGTGTGACTACATGGTTTTTTACTTTGGCTAAGGGAAAAAGTTGTAAGATTCAAAACCAATCAAAGTCGCAATTCCAAACATCCCAATTCTCACCTATTGCAAACAACCCTTCATCAAGAGTCTCGAATGTTTTTAAGAGTTAGAACTCGAAAGTCACCCCTCTCTAACTCCCCTTTGCACTCGATAGAGTGAACCTTAGGTTGATGACTATGGGCTAGATGAAGATCTTGGAGTAAATGATGACTATGGGCTAGATGAATTGGAGCGAGATCATCGGATCATTTAGGTTGATGATTTGGAGATAATGAACTTGTTATTTGTGTCTAGTTGTGATTGTGACTTGTGGTTGAATTGTGGGCATGTAGACTTTATGTTGTGGAGTTGTGGTTGAATTGTGTGGTTGCTTTAGGCTTTATGTTCAATTGATTTAGATGACTTTATGGTGTGTGATTATAGAGGGTGAAACAAAATTGAGGGTGAATCATTAAAAAAGGTGGTTGAAATTCGGTTTTGGGTGTCGGTTTCTGAACGAAAATCGAGAAAGTGAACCAGAACCTGTCGTTTCAGTTAACCGCAATGGAAAACCGAAACCGATGTTTGCGGTTTTCGGTTAACCGAAGTCTCTATCGGTTTCGGTTAGCGATCTTGGGACAATTTTGATTGCGGTTAACCGATATTTCGGTGCGGTTAAACCGAAACCACACCGACTAACACCCCTATTCACATGGACGGAAAAAAGCTTTTCTTTTACAATGAGAAAAAAGGTTGCCACTTGGCTTACCTGCTGGATACGTTCTGAATTTTTCTCTTCTGTTCAGTTTTTTTACTTCGAATTTTTCAGTTCTTTTACACTTCCTTTCCTACGTTTTTCCTTTTTTTAATTTAATTTTCTTTCGAGCTTGCTAATTGCTATGCCTCTTTCTAAAAGTTAATTAACATCATTGTGAAAAATAGACTACATACAATTTATTCGCTAAATCTTTCCCGGATTCTATATATCAATCAATTTTATAGAAATACAAATGGCGTTGAGAGGGATTGTAAACATGTGGCGTCAATGTTGATGGTTGTCACTTGTCACAGGGCAATATGGTGATGATTTTCTTTTTCTTTTATTTTTTAATTGACATGTTAGACCGCCACATGTCTTCAGAAACATCATTGTCCTTTTCATAACCTCTCTTTTTATCCATTCCAATTACTTCTACCGCCTGAAACAAAATGGACAAATTAAGCCAAGTTCAATGAAAACCCAGAACATCAGAAACCTAATAGAACCCTGCATTTATGATCTTTTTACCGTTTGGACTCATTTGTTAGTTTATGATTGTTTAATGATTTGATTAGGCATTTGGAGATAAATTGTGGGATTAATAAGTTGGGGTAACAGTAACAAATTGTGGGATTACTATATAAATCATTTATTATGTGGGTATGAAAGTTAAGCAAATATTAAACCCTAATTATTTCCTAATCTCTCTCCTTTTCTCCGCTCTCTGCCGAACTCCCTCTTCCTCTCTACTGCTGCTGCCGCTGCAGCCTCTCTTCTCCCTTCCCCAGCCAATTCTCACTTCTTCCTTTCTATTCCATTTCCACGGGTTAAAGAAGTAGATCTTCACCTTGGTGATTGACTCATTTACCCCAAATCCCTAGCAATAGATAGAACCCGAAATTCGAGTTTCTATCATCTAGTATCAGAGCCCGATTACGATGATTGAGTTTTTCACTACTCTAAACCGAGGGCGGACAACGAAGAATAATGGCCATCACCAAATCGCAAACCGTGGCGGAGCAGGCTGTCGAAAATACGGCAACGGAGACGGGAACGACCAAGACTGACACCGAGACGAAGTCGGCGGTGACCCTAGGGAAGGAGACCTCGAGCGGGTGGGCTGAGATGCTGGTGGGCCTCGTGACGGGATTGGGCTGCTACCGACCCCGATGGCTGAAGATATCATGGCCATACGTGGAAAGGAAAAAGTTCTGGGCTACGACAACGTGTTTTAGTACCCATGTTTCGGGCCGCTAGGCCCGAAGGCCCATGACGAAGGATTGAGACGTGCGGGAGAGCCGAATGGGCTTGGATGGCTGGGAATGGGCTCGAGCCTAAAAGGTGATCAGTAGGGATGGCAATGGGTAGGGTCCGGTGCGGGTTTACCCTATATCAACTCCTAACCCGCCGGGTAGAGCTTTCTAAAATACCCGACCAAATAACCACCGGATATGAAAATTATATAACCATACCCTACCCACCGGGTAACCACGGGTATTCGGGTAACCATGGTTACGATTCCTAAACTATGAACTTATACACATATATGCACATACATACTTTTGTCCATTAAAAATTCTCAATACTTCTTCATAAAAAAAAAATTCTCAATACTTGTAACTGTTCGAGCTTCAACAATCCACACAAATAAAAATAGCAAACATAGCAAACACATAATAATTGTTCTTGCTTCTACAATCCACACAAACATAATAACCGTCTGCATCAGGAGACACAGGAGGACAACCTGGTAGGTTCGACAACACCAGGACGAGGATGGGTATGGGTGGTGCCCAGAGAGATATTCACGGGTTTTTCAGGGATACCGCGGCAGGTCCTTCATGTTGAGTCAAAAGCTTGACTTAGCAATTCTACTAGCATAAGATAACTTGCCTTGAATATGTGTTATTATGGTGAACTAACAATTCTAGTAGAAAAATATCACAATCAAGGATATGAAAGGATTTGTTAGGAAAAGGAAAGAATTCAAAATGATTGCTTGCCCTCCAAGAAGTTACCATATCAAGCGAAGAGTGTATCAAATCAAGGAGATACTTGCCACATAAAGGATTACAATGAAAGGAAATGAAGTCTTGCATTCACTATAAATAGGGGAGTCATTTATAGACTAGAGTACCTTTTGCAAAGCTCTCTTCTCCCTTGTAATAGCGAAATAGTGAGATCATATTTCGTGGTGTGAGTAGCTCGATATCTTGGAAGTTGAGATAGTCAAGCTAGGTCGGGTTTTAGGGTAGAAAGTGTATTTGTAATTGGGGTTAGTGCAAGAGTGAATTCTTGTTTGGAAGTTGCACTAGGTGGTTTACTCTTCAATCAAGCTAAACTAAGAGTGTTGGCTTGATTGAGTGAGTGGGTAGCTTAGAATTGGGATTAACTAAGGAGTGAATAGGTGTGGAGTTGCACCTATTTGGTTCTTGACGCGTTGTGTCAAGGTTCTTTTTATTTTATAGGATAGAGAGTCTTTTATTTTAATAAAAGTTAGAGTCTCTCGCGGGATAGTGGTAATTATCACTGGGACGTGGATGTAAAGCCATATTGGCCGAACCACGTTAAAATCGCATGTCCCGACTCATCTCCATCTCTCTATACTTCCACTATCATAGTCTAGTTCATCATAGTTGAAACAAGTTCGTTATAGCAAATTAATCATTTCAAGAGGGATTCTTGGCAAACCATTTTGGGTTGCTCAATCAAGCTAGTGCTAATCTTTCATTATTGAAATCAGAATTAATTTGTGCATTGAACACGTCAAAAGTATTCATTAT